GACATGTTGTGGGGTTGTTAACCAATGTCATAAAACGATATGTGTACTACTGTTTCATGAGAAACTATTTGTTCTGTAAGCCTTCACCTGAAGTACAATTAAAAAAAAAAAAAAAAGATTAAACAAGCAAGCTAGGAAGCAGAGATGGGGGAAGAGAGATGCCAAACCACATGGAGATTGCCCAGGAGCAGAAGCTCAGAAGAGACAAGGACCTTTCTCCAGAGCCAACAGAGAAAGAAATCCTTCCCCTAGAGCCAGCAGCCTGAATTCGGACTTCTAGCCCCCTAAACTGTGAAAAAATAAATTTCTGTTTGTCAAAGCCATCCACTTGTGGTATTTCTGTTATAGCAGCACTAGATAACTAAGACAGCAAACAATAAAATGCTCTAAGATATAACAAAAAGGATTTAAATGACACAAGCAAGAATTCATATTTTCCCACAAAAGAAACTTGTCTTCTTTCTGAAGCAAAGAAAAGTTTCTCCCAAGTCATGTACGAGAAAAAAAACACAAATCATTAAGAAAGAGGAATCCTACTGCTGGGTCTGTGCTTGGGCTCTGCTGCTAACTGTGGTGGTTTCAGGCTATCTTGCAACATAGCCATGCTGATGTCAGCCACAAAGCCAGAAGGTGGACCAGCCGAAAGGAGATTACCAAAATGTTCACACCTACCTCAGAGTCCATCACAGGGTGACTTCGTCCAGTCAAATGGGAAGCCTGTATGTGCACCGTCTGATCATCACGAATACAGAGATATGCATCATCATCACCCTGAAAGATACTTGTAAATTAGAAAGTTTAAAGGAATTTCAAAAGTTTTCTGGTCCTTTCAAAAAAAAAAAACCCTAATGAAGTCAAATATTATCTGGTGTCTTTTAAAAACAATGTACTGGCTCAATCTTAGATGGCATTATAAATTCTAGAGAACTGGCTATGCAATTTATTAATTAAAAATTCTTATATTTTAATACAAAAAGCAATACAATTTCAGCATAAAAAATTGCATTAAAACAGACATAAAACCCAAACAAACCAAACCCATTGCCATTAAGTCAATTTTGACTCATAGCGACCCTGTAGTACAGATTAAAACTGCCCCGTAGGGCTTCCAAGGCTCTAATCTTTATGGAAGCAGACTGCTACATCTTTCTGCCACAGAGTGGCTGGTGGGTTTGAACTGCCAACCTTTCGGTTAGCAGCTGATCACTTAACCACTATACCACCATGGCTCCTAAAATAGACATATAACATGTTTATATGCCTATAAACCCATTGTCATGGATTGAATTATGTCCCCAAAAAACACCTGTCGACTTGGCTAGGTTATGATTCCCAGCACTGTATGACTGTGTAATCAGATGTGATTTCCTTATGAGTTGTAAACTCTATCACTATGATAAGGTTATGTGTGATCTCCTTATGTGCTGTAAACTCTATCGCTAAGATGAGGTTATACTGATGACGTCTACAAGACTGGATAGTGTCTTAAGCCAATCTCTTTTGAGATATAAAAGACAGAAGTGAGCAGAGACACATGGAACCTCACACCACCAAGAAAGCAGTGCCAGGAGCCGAGTGCATCTTTTGGACCTGAGGTTCCTGTGCTGAGATGCTCCCAGACCAAGGGAAGACTGATGCATCACAAGGACCTTCCTCCACAGCTGAGAGAGAGACAAAGCCTTCTCCTGGAGCTGATGCCCTGAATTGGGACTTGTAGCCTACTGGACAGTGAGAGAATAAATTTCTCTTTGTAAAGCCATCCACTTTTGGTATTTCTGTTATAGCAGCACTAGATGACCAAGACATCCATCATCAATTGAACACCATTAATGTTTTGGTGTCTATTCATCTAAACCTATTTGTATTTATATCTATTTTTTTCTTCTGAAATGGGAAAATACACAATTTTGTTACTTTTTTCACTTAACTTACCATGAACATTATTTCAGATATTTATTTGTGAATAAATACCTATGTCCTACATATTTTAATGACTGTGACTACACTGCATTGTATTGGATATTTTTTGGTAACTTTTAAGATGGAAGACACAATCAAATATTACTACAAATCATATACACTGAATAGATTTAACATTGCAAAATTGAGACTAAAATGTCTGAGCACAAGAGGAATTTTTTTGTTGTTCTTGGTCTAATTCTCATCTCTCAGTCTCAAATATTCCTTAGCTCTAAAAGTTGGGTAATATTATTTAAAGTGATTGTCAGAGGGTAGACTACATCTTCAAAGTACACTTAGGTGATGATACAAATGAATAATGTAGATTTTAAGTTATTGTCTATAATCCTTGTTCTTTCACTTATTCTAAATTGTTCTCCATAAACTATACAACAATTATACAGAAAGATCTTCTGTGTGCTCTAGGCACTAAGCACCTTGAACAAGAGTCAAGACTATCCAGTTATAATAAATGTTACTATAAATTTTCCAGAAGGAAATTCTAACATGTTTCTATACTTTCAGGATCATATTTATTTTAGTTCCATTTTTGAGAACTCTCAAGGGCATAATCTTAGCAAAGGAATTATTCACTATTACACATCTTATATTCAAATCAGAATAGCCCAACTCAAGCTAAGAAATTTAGATTAGCCGTAATTTAAACCAGGAGTCCACAAACTACGGCCCATGGCCAAACTCAGGCCACCATCTGTTTTCATGCATTCGGAGAGCTATGAATGACTTTAACATATTTAAGTGGTTTTTAAGAATTAAAAAGAAGAATACTATTTCATGACAAGTTAAAATATAAGAAATTAAAATTTCAGTGTCCATAAACAACATTCAAAAGAAGTTCCAGCAGTACATCGAGAGAGAACTCCCAGAAATTCAAGCCAGATTCAGAATAGGATGTGGAACAAGGGATATCATTGCGGATGTCAGATGGGTCATGGCTGAAAGCAGAGAATACCAGAAAGATGTTTACCTGTGTTTTAGTGACTATGTAAAGGCATTCAACTGTGTGGATCATAACAAATTATGGATAACATTTCAAAGAATGGGAATTCCAGAACACTTAATTGTGCTCATGAGGACCCGGTACTTAGACCAAGAGGCAGTCGCTCGAACAGAACAAGGAGATGCTGCATGGTTTAAAGTCAGGAAAGGTGTGCGTCAAGGTTGTATTCCTTCACCATACTTATTCAATCTGTATACTGAGCAAATAATCCAAGAAGCTGGACTATATGAAGAAGAACAGGGTATCAGGATTGGAGGAAGACTCATTAGTAACCTGCAATATGCAGATGACACAACGTTGTTTGCTGGAAGTGAGGAGAACTTGAAGCACTTCCTGATGAAGAACAAAGACTACAGCCTTCAGTATGGATTACACCTCAACATAAAGAAAACAAAAATCCTCACAACTGGACCAATAAGCAACATCATGATAAATAGAGAAAAGATCAACGTTGTCCAGGATTTCATTTTGCTTGGGTCCACAAACAATGCCCATGGAAGCAGCAGTCAAGAAATCAAAAGACGCAGTGCATTGGGCAAATAGGCTGCAAAAGACCTCTTTAAAGTGTTAAAAAGCAAAGATGTCACTTTAACGACTAAGGTGCACCTGACTCAAGCCATGGTGTTTTCAATCACCTCGTATGCATGTGAAAGGTGGACAGTGGATAAGGAAGACGAAAGAAGAACTGATGCCTTTGAATTATGGTGTTGGTGAAGAATACTGAATATACCACAGACTGCCAGAAGAACAAACAAATCTGTCTTGGAAGAAGTAGAGCCATAATGCTCCTCAGAAGCAAGGATGGCAAGACTTCATCTCATATACTTTGGACATGTTATCAGTAGGGACCAGTCCAAGGAGAAAACATCATGCTTGGTAAAATAGAGGATCAACAAAAAACAGGAAGACCCTCAACGAGATGGACTGACACAGTGGCTGCAACAATGGGCTCAAATATAGCAATAATTATGAGGATGGTGCAGGACTAGGCAGTGTTTCATTCTGTTGTGCACAGGGTCAATATGAGCTGGAACCAACTAGATGGCACCTGACAACAACAACAACAAACAACGCTTTATCAGAACACAGACCCACTCATTCATTTACATATTGTCTATCACTGCTTTCAAACTACAACAACAGAGTTGAGTAGTTGCAACAGAGATAGTATGGCCCACAAATTCTAAAACTATCTGGCTCTCTATGGAAAAAAGTTTGCTTACCCCTGATTTAAACAAACAATGCATATTTTCTAGAATGTGTATAATCAATGACAAACAGGAATTCTTTTGTTATTGAAAAAAATGTTAATATAACAAATGGTTGATCTTGAGGCATACTGATAATAAGAAGTCTAAATCATTACAGGCAGATCTCCCAAATACTTAAGAAGATGATGGGGATAGAAAACAGGGAGCTAAAATGAAGGATAAGTAAGGGAAGGTGCTACTACAACCTTAGGCTCCAAGCAGTTCTAGAAAACTCCCAAGTTTAGAGCATGGAATCACACAACATAAGAACTACCACCAAATCCCAGAGTTAGACAGAAACTCTCTCCTCAGTTTGCCTCTCCCAATTCGAGCATTTAGAATGTACTCTATAAGAAAACATTGTTCTGGATACTGCAGGAGAAATAAAGATGACTAAGAAATATGATTGTTAAAATCAAAGATTATGACTTAATGGAGGAGATAGATGGTTCTAAGAGTGCATGAAACATGATAAAACGGAGATTTAGTAGAAATGCTATGGAAATACAAATTATCTAGCACCAGAGGGTTGGAAAACACTATCAAAAAAGATAACGTTTAATTAGGCCTTAGAAAACAAATATTTATATGAGACTAAGGGAGAGCTGAGATTGAGACGAATGTTTTCCAAGCTAAGGAACTACCAGGACCAAAGATATAGAAATGTAAAGGATATGAAAATTTTAGGAATTAGGTTGTTTTGTTAACTAAAACATATACAGGGTGTAGAGAGAGCTCCAAGGCTGGAAATTCCAACAGCTTTTCCCAAGACTTTGAAGAGTTTTGAAAACCATGCTAAGGAAATGCAACATTTTTCTATAGTTACTGAAGTTTCACCTAACGTTTTTGAAGACAGGATTGAGACAAATTCTTTAGTGGCTTGAGAAGAGAACTCCAGTGGCTGCGAGAAGAATGAAATGAAGAGAGGGCATCACGGAGGCTGGAAGACTAACAAAGCGATTGCTGCAGCAGTCCAGGAAGGAGTCAATGCAGGTAAGAAAGAGGGAAGAAATCAAAGAGAGAATCAAAAGAACAGTTGATCCTCATTATTCATGGATTCCATATTTGTGAATTTACCTGCTTGCTAAAATTTATTTGTAACCCCAAAATCAATGCTCAGGGTGCTTTCATCGTTATTTGCATACATGCAAAAAGACAAAAAATTTGAGTTGCCCATTGTGCACGTTCCCAGCTGAGGTTAAACAAAGCAATAATCTGTCATCTTGTTTCAGTTCTCATACTGTAAACAAGTGACCTTTTCTTGGTCTATTTAGTGCCATTTTTTTTGTTGTTGTTGTTAATTTTTGTTGATGATTTTGCTGTTTAAAATGGCCTCAAGCTTAGTGCTGAAATGTTGGCTACTGTTCCTAAGCACAAGAAGGCTGTGATGTGCCCCAGGCTCTCAGGAATCTAACTCTTTATTTCACCTAGGAGTGGTGGTTCAGTATTGACTAATTCAGTGTTTGTCATCCCTATATAAAATATAACTATTGGTGAATAGGAGATCAGTAGCAATGAACACAGGAGCACCAAATCTTGATTTCAAAAAACCATTCCTACTAATAGGAACTAAGGTTCTTTTGAGAAACAATGAAATGTAGGAACATACACAATGAGTGAAGAACATCTTGTTACACCAGAAAACAAGGATATGCTCAAAAACTGATAGAGACCCAATAAAGCCAGCTTGAAGGGGCTCCTATTGGCTACATTTGGGTCACTATGAGCACAAAAAAGAATAATGATGGTAATGCACTATAACACAATGGATAAAAGGAATCCATTAGTCCACAGTGTGATTCCAAAAGGGAAGGGGAGGTACAGAAAAAAGAAAACTCTTCTTTTAATAAGAATGCCAGCTAATAAATTAGAAAAATCATCATTTTACAACCACAAATGTAACAACAGATTCTAGTAAGGATCATCAATAAACAATAAAATCATTTGGTAAAAGATTATTGGGGACAGAATATTCATACAGACTCAAAGTATCACCCAACAGATGGATTACTTACTAGTTACAAAGAGAAAAATATCTTTCACGATGGAGAAATCTGACAGATACCAGTGATCAATCCTAGCATCGCCTATAATAATGAAACAATTTGACACTGTGTACCTTTTGATGTGATACAGTGAGAAGAAAACAACATTCCTCAAGTAGTATTTCTGGCAAAAAATCTTAACCTGAATCCATTGTACAAATTGTGGGGCATTCAACAAAACAATTGGCCTGTAAAAAACAATCAAGAAGAAAGGTAGGGTAATTGTCTAGATTAAAGGAGATCAAAGAGATATGACAACTAAATGCAATGAGTGATAACTGATGGGCTCATGGATCAGAATTTTAAAAAATAATAGCTACAAAGGACTTTATTGGGGCAATCTGGGAAACCAAACTATGGAGTGAATATTCTGTAAAATTATTATATCTATCATTTTTAAATTTTCTCACTGTGATAGAAGATATTGTAGTAATTGTAACAGATGCCCTTGTTCTTAGGAGACACATGATGAAAAATTTACGGATGAAATGTGGTATCTACAACCTACTTTCAAATAGTTCAGGGAAAAAAATGTGTGTATACACACCACATAAATCAATTGATACGTATATATACATACACAGAGAGAGAAAGAAAGTGGCAAATCTAGGTCAAGGCCTTACAGGTATTCATTGAATTATTCCATCAACTTTTATGTAGGTTCGAAGCTTTCCAAAACAAAAATTTGAGGGTGAGTGGGAGGGAGAAGGACCTGAGAGGTGAATAAAAGAGGGGAATCCAAGTCACAAAATTGGAGGCAGAGAATATCAGAGAAGATGCTGGCAGCAATAAGTGAGATGTTGTATAAATTGCCTAGAACAGTACCTGACAAGATACAAGACATCAATACAGGTAGCTGCTCTTTTATTATTGTGGTTAATCAACAAGAAGGGGAATGCAAAAAAACATTAAGAGAGAAACAATAGGTTCAGTATTATACATTTGTGTTATCTAGAATCTAAGAGAAGTCAAGACTGGTAGAATCCTACAATTCAGGCATTGAGAGATTACGTAGAGAGCAAAATGATATAGGGTAAGGGAAGGAGGAGGACGGAAACTAATATAATTAACTTCTATACTTGGTATATATTATATCATTTAATATGTGAGATAGGGAATTTGAATGTCAGTTAAAATTCAGATATTAGCAGCAAGTCATTGTTATCAGAAATATGGAAAATTATACTTTTCAATCAATTTTGGTGCCAAAGTCTAATACTAAAACAGCTACTATCATTAATTTACAAACCAAATTGATAAAAGGCATAATTTAGGTTATTTGATCAGCATTCATAACATCAAATAGCTTCAGTATTTAAATCAAGAACAGCAGGTCATAAAAATACCCTAAAAATTTAAAAACAACAACTCAGAATAGAAATAACCACTTTAAAAATACATTTGAAGGATGATTTATTTCCCTCCATTTAAGCAAACAGGTGTACAGATGATTTTAATCATTAAATAGGCTTGCTCTGTAGATCAACTGCACCTGCACGATTAAGTCTCTTTTATAAAGTTTTGATGAGTACTATACTAGAAACAGATAGTTTTTCAGTAAGATAAATATATTCTTCAGTTAAAGATAAATGCTTTTGTGCCACCCTGTGCCTACAACTGAGAACAGAAATAACTGATCTACCTGTGGACAACTCATCACCATTCAATGTAATACTAGTGTCTTTACCTCTTTCTTACAGATTTTATGTGACCCGTAAAAGGAAATTTGTGAGGACACTATTGCATGAAGTTTGGCTATAAAATGATAAAAGCTATAGAAAAAATAAATTTTTTTTAAGTAATTATGTCATGTATAAATGAGTGCCACACCTCACAGATGAACTACATCTATACACGTATTCCAACAAAAATACCATTGTTAGAACTTTGTTGGCTTCCTCTTCCAAATTCCCTTCATAGCCAGTTTCATCACATTCACACAACAAGCACTACCATCACCTTTCCTTATTGCTTTATAGTCACCTTTTATTTTTAACCAAAAATATCATTACCAGCCTGATTATCCACCTTATGTACCAAATTGGATTCATTTCTGCCAGCTCTGAAAACACCCAAAAGAATGCGCTATAGGTCTGAAAGCAACTGCAAAAGAGAGGTGGGGAAAATGCTTTGGGCAACTGTAGCATCATTTGAGCAAGTGTAAAATTTCTCATAAAAGCAATTTTCAAGGGGAAAGATCCATAATTACTTATGCGTTATTTTTAAAAACATACAACATATCTTGTACCTTATAGATTTAAGATATATCCTTTGTTTAATAAAAGAGGATAGCAAGTGTATTCTGTAACAACAGTAAAATATGTAGATCACATACATATACTGAAAAAGCATCCTTCTAAAAAAGTTACACCTGGCTTCCTGCAATACAAGAAACCAGTGTGCCAGAACTGGTATGATCAGAGTGCATTTTTAGGGAAAGCATCAGTTCCTCTATTATCGCCATCTCAGAAAGGTTCCTTCTCCTTTTTGAAACATGATGAGGTCCCTGGGTGATGCAAACTGTTAAGCGCTCAACTACTAGCCAAAAAGTAGGAGGTTCAAACCCATTCAGAGGCACCTCGGAAGACAAGTCTAGTAATCTGCTTCCAAAAGGTCACAGCCTTGAAAATCCTATGGAGCAGTTTTACTCTGCACACATGAGGTCATCAAGAGTCAGAATCAACCTCACGGCAACTAACAACAACAAAGAAGGGGTATTGGGTTTAAATCCTGACAGGAAGAAAACTTTTGAGAAATGACTAGTTGCCCTTTGTTAATATGGAAATCAGGGATTTTGTCCATTTGTGGTTATCCCCACCACCCACTGCCAACTCTGCTTAAAAAGAACTTACACATGTCCTGGCCACAATACTCTTCTTCCTTTGCCTGGAAAATCAGGGTGCTTATGCAGCACTCTGCTCTTCCACACCACAGCAGGCTGCTGCCACCTACAGAATCATTTAATCCATCCAGCACCACCAGGGAGAGCTAGAATCAGGTGCCTTCTGCAGATCTGACAAAGGAGCCTCTGGCAAGCTGTACATTTTTGTCTGGACATACCAGGTTTAATTCTGTTTGAGAAATGTGTACATAACTTCCAAAATGAGGACACCGAGAGTAGCAACATAAGCTTTTGTTGCTGGCCACTTCAGTAAGCAAAATTGGTTTGGAAAGTATTACAAACAACATGGGATTTTATGCAGAGCAAGTTTTTAATTGTACTTTCTGCTTTACCACAAAGATGTGTGTGTGTGTATGTGTGTGTGTGTGTGTGTGTAGGTCCCTGGGTGGTGTAACAGTTTGCGCTCAACTACTAACCTAAAAGTTGGTGATTTGAACCCACCCAGTGGTGCCATGGAAGAAAGGGATGGCAATCTACTTCCATAAAAATTACTATCAAGAAAACTCTATGAGGCAGTTCTACTCTGTAACACATAGGGTTGCCATGAGTCAGAATCAACTCAACAGCAATGGGTTTCAATTTTTTTTTTTTTTTTTGCTGTATGATATATACGTACATACACACACACACACACACATATATGTAGACAGAGAAAGAGAGAGAGAGAGGAAAATCCACTGGAAATAAAATTATTTTCCTAAGTTTCCTTAGGGCAGCCTGTTCTTAAATGTATGCAATTGCTCAACTGTTAAAACTATAAAGCACTCAAAATTGTTTAACTCAGGATCTGTTCTAAGTTTCTCCTGCCCTTCCCTTCCCATACCACCCTTAAATATGATAATTTGCCTCTGGAACAAACAGCCAATCTAGCATTAATTAGAACTCACTCCAGTGATTCTCCTTTCACTACCACTTATGTAATAAGAGGTACAAACCATCCATCGGTCATGAGAAAGTGCAAAGGATAAATAGCCTTTACTGGGACCACTCATTTCAACCATCACTGATCGGTCATCTCGCATAAAGGACAAGAAGACACAGGCACGTTCCTTCTCTGGGTCACAGTTCAAAGGACTCCTGATACAGAACTTCGTGTTCCCGCAGGCTGAAGCGCTGAACTAGAAAAATTATGGGGGGAAAAAATCTTAATTATCAAGCAAGCAGTTCATCGCCAAGATAGAAGGCTGAAGTACGGGTTTTAACAAAAATACCTTTCCAAAATAAGGATTCAAATAAAGGAACAAAAGACAACCCAAATTAGAAATGATCAGAGCAGTAGTTAGGCTGTGAACTTTTAACCTTAATTAATTTTAATTAAAATTTGGAAAGTACAACACTAGTTTGACTGCAGTTGTGCAAGAGTATTAACATCCCCTTCAACACACAAAGTATTTCAGAATAATTATGTTTTGAAACAAAGTTTCTGGTAAATTTTTAAAAACTTCTTAGGGACAACACACATTGACAGTCTTGCCTAAAAGGGTACCCTTTGGTTTTCAAAGATGGAATATTAAAAAGCAAACAAGCAAGAAAATCCTTAGCAAGTTTTTATACAGTATTTAGATTTGGGACTCTGCTTCTAGAAATTCACGTTCAAATTGGATACTAAATAATATAATAAAAATGGCTACCCCAATATATACCACCATTCCAAATACCAATAACTTAGGGAGAAAACAAGCAATAATCTACAATGATTTCATTCAGAGCTTCTGGGTATGGTGCATAGGAAGAATTATTTGACAGAGCAAACAAGCAATGACCTAGTTACAATGGACTATGATAGTACATTTCAGAAGAGAGGTAAACATTAATCTTTATCTAATTAGATTTAATGGGAATGTAAAGAGAAATCATAGTTGGGTGGAAAGAACACACCACTAGGAACTAGGAAACTTGGGTTTTGACCCCTGATGTCTCCTTTACTCTACCACATTTGTCAAAGGACTTATTCTCTCAGGGCCCCTTTACCTTCAACTATACAACAGGGGAACTGAACAAAATAGACCCCGAGGTCTCTTCTGGCTCTAAAAATGTTAGAATCCTATGACTGTGAATGAATTATGCTATAACTAGAGACTATAAACTTGGCAGCAGAGACATAATACAAACTCGAACAAGAGCTAATGCCTTCTATGTGGACATATGGAAAGACAAAAATACTATCTACAAGTTATTACTAGGAAATTTGGGTCCAATCTGGATGTTTATTCCCCTAAAGTAGCTTTCAAATAAATAAGCATTAAGACTAAGCCGAACCGCCCTGACAGGGAACACAACAGAGAGTCCCTGATGGAGCAGGAGAAAAGTGGGGTGCAAACTCAAATTCTAATAAAAAGACCAGACGTAATGGTCTGATTGAGACTGGAGGAATCCCAGAAAGCATGGCCCCCAGGCTCTCTGTCAACCCAGAACTAAAACTATTCCCGAGGCCAACTCTTCAGACAAAGATTAGACTGGACTATGGGACATAAAATGATACTCGTGAAGAGTGTGCCTCTTAGCTCAAGTAGATACACGAGACTAAATGGGCAGCTCCTGTCCGGAGGTGAGATGAGCAGGCCGAGAGGCTCAGGAGCTGGTTGAATGGACACGGGAAATCAGGGTTGGAAATGAGGAGTGTGCTGTCACAGTATAGGGAGAGCAATTAGGGTCACGTAACAGTGTATGTATAAATTTTTGTATGCGAGACTAACTTGAATCGTAAACTTCCACTTAAAGCACAAGTAAAAAAAAAATTAAGCTGAAAACTAGTACAAATAATCTAATTGTGTGGTCAAGAAAAATGCAACATTCATAGTAATGTAATCAAGCAGAAAGGCCACCAATTACAAAATGGAGAAGGAAAACGAAGTAAGACATTAAACAGGGACACGGGTGCTTTACTTAGTCTTCTCTATGTGAACAGAGGAGACAAAAAGGACAAGAAAGGGAAGAAAGAGAAAAGAAACTAATATTTACTCAGTATCTATTAAGTACAAGAAACAGAGAGCTTATACTCATTATTTTGTTTAATTCTCACAGTGATACTACGTAAGAGCTAAATATTATTATTTCTCATTTTATAAGTGAAGAATCTGAGATGTTGAGAATTTAAGTAGTTTGTCCAGAGTCTAACAGAAAGTAGACAAGTTAGGATTCAGGTCCAAGGTCTTTCTTTCCACTGTAATAATTTGTTTCAAGACATCTTTCACTATATCTATCCACTTTTGAATTAAGAAGTCTAATTTATCAGAATTACCTTCAGTAAAACCCTTCTTCCTAATGTTTCTACATGCATTACCCTTTCAAAGGTATGTTCATTCCACAGTAATTCTTTTGAATTTAAGGCCTAACTGGAATTCTAGTTGATGAGCTTGCAAGACATTTTCTATGGTTCAGCACATAGAATTCTCCAATACTCACTGGTCTTAATAAAATAAGATCTAACCATCTCAAAACTCTCCTCCAAGTCTTGTTTAAATTTAGCTTAAGATCCCTCTCCATATTTGATATTTGGTTGTGTTTAAAAAAAAAATAAGTTTGTTGCTTCATCAGATTTATTTTCAAGTGAAAACATATCCGCTGCTAGGATAGATGTCATGTGAATGTAATAACCACACCTTGAACATGCAGGATCTTGCATTTCCTTTATTCTAACCTGCAAGTCACAACATTATAATGAAGGCTTCCAGATTTCCTAGAGAACCCAAAAACTTGCTACCACAAGCCAGTAAGGCTGCTTCTCTAAGCACTTCCCCCAAATATACAACCACAATTTCCAATGAAGCCCTTACCTCAGATTGTATTTGGTGAATTACCTTCAGTAAAACCCTTCTTCCTAATGTTTCTACATGAATTACCCTTTCAAAGGTATGTTTATTCCATAGTAATTCTTTTGAATTGAAGGCCTAACTGGAATTCTAGTTAGAATGTTACTTACTGGTTTGGTTAAATGGGAGTCTGGGGGTAACGTTGACAAACGTGCTGTTGTAGCTTTGGGTGTTGTAAAGGGAAGTGCGTTTGGCTGTGAAATTATAGAACCAGGAATCTTCACCCAGTAGATTTTATACTTCTCAACAACTGTGGCTCTGAAATAAAAAAAAAATACAGTACCAGTGAAATTAGTTAGAACTCTGATTGTGGCCTATCATAGTCAAATAAAAACTTCTAAAGCAAAAAAAAAGGAATAAAATAGGGACACACAACTTAATGGTACCTAATGTACTGCTAAGGAGTCCTGGTGGTGCAGTGGTTAAGTGCTCGGCTGCTAACTGAAGGCCAGTGGTTCAAACCCGCCAGCTGCTCTGTAGGAGAAAGACGGGGCAGTCTGCTTCCATAAAAGATTACTGCCTTGGAAACCCTATGGGGCAGTTCTGCTCTGCCCTACAGGGTTGCTATGAGTTGGCATCAACTCAACAGCAACCGGTTTGGTTTGGTTTTTTTTTTTAATAGTACCACTAATTGTAGTCTGAGGCAAATCTCTAATTACCGTCTTTCCCCCTCATTATTCGATGGATCTTTTTTTGAGCACTTCTCTTTCTCTCTTTCTTCCTCTCTTCCCCCACCACCCTGTTCTGATGCCATCTCTTTCTTCTGTTACTAATCTGTTCCCTGGGCACATTCACACCATGAACACCAGACCTAGGGGCAAAACTGCACAGATTTCTACTCCCTGACATAGAAAGAACATACTACTACTCAGTTCATAGTGGACAATTCAAATTATTCCAGCACACAGCTATATCAAGAACCTGTATAGAAGCTACATAAGCAACCACCAGCAATTACTGGGGTTGTATCCCCTTTTCACATTCCATATAACACCCAGGTGCAAAGCTGTGCTACTGTATGCTGGGAAGCCATACACAAAGTCAGGCAGAAAATAGGGACATGTAAGGATAGCAATTCTCCCCTTAAAATATGGAAGTCTATAGCACCACTCAGGAATAATTATGCGGCTTTACAACATTCCACTTCTCCTTGATTAAGGGATTAAGGATTAAGGGAGAAGTACTATTTTAATTCCACTGAGTTTCAAAATTCTGAGGAGCGTGAAGGATCTTACTTTTCTGACATTCTAATCTGCAAGTTGTAACACCGTAAAAAAGTCATCCAAATTTCAGGACTGTTTTATTCATATTCTCATACTAATATGGGAACAAACCTTAAAAAAAAAGTATTAGTCTCCACTATTAATTGATGGCTCTTATTAGTCTGATGGCAGAGCAATACTTCATTCATTCACTCAACAAAGTCTTTTAAGTGCCTATTAGGGGCCAGGTCCTCTGCTAGGTGCTGGGTAAACACTGATGAAAAACAAACAAGCAAACAGCCAAACAAACTCTTGGCACAGTTATTGTTGTTGTTAGCTGCCATGGAGTGGGCCCCTACTCATGGTGACCCTGTGCCAGAGACCTATCGAGGGTAACCAGTGCCCAGGGGCAATCCCTAAATTGTACCCCTCCTCCAATTGCAAGACGAACAGACTTTGGTAGGGGTGACAGGTGTCAGAAGAAATGCCCCAACTCTTGTCTAGGTGCCTCAGTAAAGCCCCTTTCATATTTGTGGCACCTTAGAACGTCGTTCCGCACCTCGTCGGGTGCCCCCTTGGACTTGCGCCCAGGGCAAATGTTGTTACTCCCTCTGTGCCCTGCCTCACTACACTCTGCCCTGTGTACAATGAAATGATGTTATTACTACACCAAACCTCTTCTATCTGTGTGACTCTCCAATAGCTGTAAAAATGATACAGACCATTATTCCAATTTTACCAGTCACAGAGTTGTAAACTCTTCTACTCACAGAAACTGTATATGATTTGGCGCACTGCTTGGAGCATGCCAGTAGACTTCGATATCATTTTTTTTGGATGGATTTCTATGACTCACAGCTGACCCCTGGCAAAAAAATGGAAGAGAATTACCATTCAATCACACAATAGTTCAATGTGGCTGGAACTGCTATCATTTTGAAAACTATTTTATCACTGCATGACCTTAGCATTCTGGTGAAGACTATTTTATTTAGAACAAAGATTTGAGTATTCAATAAACACATGTTGACTGAACAGATTAGTAGCTGGCTCTGTGAGTAAATTAGAGTCAGCAGAAATAGAGAACTAAAGAAAATAATGAATATTGGGAGTATTAATACTATATATAGTCTGCTCAATATTTCATTTCTACTATAAATTTATATTCCTTCCAAAAATTAATGCAAATGGAATGGAGAAGATTTGTCAAAAAAAAAAATTCCTTGGCTCCCAATATGTAGCATTATGTTATAGTAGTCCCCTTTCCCTTGAATAATCTTTTCTCCCACGCCTTCATTCACCTGGCGAACTCCTACTCATTTTTAAAGCTTGGCTTGGAGATAATTCTCCAAGAAGCTCTCTCTCTCAATTCACTCCAGCCTGGGTGTGGCACCGCCTGCTAAGATCCCTACTCACTGGTATCCTTCTAGCCCAAGTTATCACACTGTTCTACTTATGTATCTGTCCTATCAGGCTGTGAGTTCCTCAAGGAACAAGACTAAGTCTTGTTCATCACCAGCTGTCTTGCACTCAGGACAGTTCCTGGATTACTACATGTTTCTTAAATGAATGAATAAGTGAACGGCAAAAATTAGACCTCTATTCCACTCTAGAACTCTATCATCAATATCTGTTGTGGTGGTTGTTGTTGTTACTGATAGCTGCTGTCAAGTCAGGCCCTGACTCATGGTGACCTCATGCACATGGAATAAAACATTTCCCAGTCATCCCCATGATCAGGTGCAGATCAATCATTGTGATCCATGGGATTTTCATTGGCTGATTTTCAGAAGTAAATTGCTACACCTTTCTTTCAAATCATCAATGTTAGCACCTTCAAATGTCAATATAAAAAGAGTCAACATGATACAAAACAACAAAAGCTAGAAACTCTTCAAAGTACTGCTCAGCCTTTTTTAAGATGCTCACGCATAAAGGCATTTCAAGAGCAGAAAACTTAGGGGAAGTTGGATCATGGTGAATCTATTTCGATACCTGCAATACTTGGGTAATGTCATTGTTTATCTTGCAACCACCACCCAGTAGTAAAATGGGCCAAGGAAACTAACAGAAATGAGTTTAAAACCAAAGCAAACCTGTATGTCTTCACAGGTGAGAATCTGTGACAATTCACTGTCAATCAACGTGAAGGAGCCAATGAGTGGGCCACTCAAATCCTCAGCATCACGAGCTTCTAAGAGAAAGCCTTTAAATGGTGGCCCTGACAAAGTCACTGAGAAACAGACAAAAAGATGGGGTAAAAGGTTTAGCAACATCCCAAAAAGGAAACTGTTTAGAGGTGGCGCATCCAGTTAGTCACAACCATGTCAAATTAGAAAAGTTATACTTTTAACACTATTGTAATTGGAGGTCAAATCTGTCCAAATAACCATGAGCATAGATAGAATATTCTTAAATTTAAAGTTATATAGCTCCTAGAAAATATTTAAGGGCCTAATTAAAATACTAATCATTTGTTTTTTACTTGTATTTTCTATGGGGATGTTTTTCATTGTCATTTATCCGTTATGCATCTCCAGCATTCTTTCTATTGAAACTGAATAGGATTTTATTATCAAGCAAACTTTACTTACATCTAAATGTAGCAAACTGTATACAGTACATACAAATTTTATTAGTGTATTCCTTACTAGCACTAATTTTCCAGGTTTATATTTTTAAAGGTCATTAGTTATATTATTAAACTCAATTTCTGATAAATCTTTATAATGAGCCCTCAGATGAAGCCTTTTAATAGTGTAGAACAGGCAGAATAAGATTTTTAAACAATCAGTACAACTAGTCAAATATGGTCAGGGAATATTTAAAGTATAATGCTATAATCCTCTTGTTGTTGCGGTGTGCCGCTGAGTCATTTCCAACTCATAGAGACCCTACAGGACAGAATACAACTTCCCCCATAGGGTTTCCCAGGCTATAACCTTTATGGGAGCAGATCGCCATACGTCTTTTCTCCTGCAGAGCCACTGGCAGTTAGCAGCCTTTTAGTTAGCAGCCAAGTGCTTAACCATTGCACCACCAGGGCTCCTTTTGTTGATAATCCTAGCTACCAATTATTTAGTGCCAACCAAGTTCTAGCAGCTGTGGTAATGTCACCATTCATTATAGCACATTCTTAGGTCGATTCTGCAAGACAGGCACTATTACCCATTTTACAAATCAGAAAAGCAAGGCTCAGGTTTTACCTTAGTGTGAGGTGGTCTCATTCCAAGCCCACATTTTCCGCATTATACCACACTTCTGTCTCAATTATGAGTCATTAAAAATACTACTATTCCCTAAAATTAACTAAATTATAGAATAAATAAAATAAAGGTAAGTGGCATAATTGTGCCTGTACATGCCATTTTCAACCTGAAGGGATCCAGACATGTGAATGGGGAATATGCTAAGCTATGTGGAGAAGCTTGGCCATTTATATATAGACAGCTAAAACATTATATAGGGAACTGATACTAATGCCAAAGATGAATGTGACTGTTCTAGTAGCTCTCTAAACTATTTATTAGAAAAAAATATAGAAGGAATACAGGATAGAGACTCTAAATTATCTGTATTCTACCCCAGCTCTGAATGTATAAAGGTTGGTGAGTCTCTTACCCCTTCTGGCCCTCACTTTCCTCATCTATGAAATGAGAAGGTGGGACTAAATGACAATCAGATCATTTACAGCTCTAAAACTCTATCATTGAAAAGCACATGCTGAAATGAAAGGGAAAGGATTTCTAGCAAATTTTTAGGAAAACAATATAGACAAATAATATCCAGCTTAACAGCTTTTCTAGACTCACAAGGAAAACATATATCAGCTTATTTCTATGAGATCACAATTAGAATCAGGTATATATATGCAAAACTTCTCCAGGAGAGAAAGAGAAAAATATCCTATAAAGAAGTTCTAAACTGTTTCATGGGACACTGACTCCAAGAGATGTTAACAGTCATTCCACAGGAAAAAAAGGTGAGTGATGATCAGGGGCAGTCCACGGGACCAAATTAATATAGAAAATTCTGGATGAAAGTAAATACTTGTTTCTTTACTGCAAACTCCTTGGGGCCTTTAATATCCTACTGTGCAATGTAAAACTTTAAAAGGAAGATATAACACACAAAGTGTTCCAAATTTATTTTTTGAAACACCCTTTTTTGTTACAGGGTACCTATTAACAATTTGCATTCCTAGAGGTGCAGAAAATACAGTTTGTAAAATAACTATTATAGATACACTTTTAACAGCAAGCCTATATGTGCCACAAGAATCAAGGAAACTTACATTCCATCAAGAAGGACAAGAGTTTATTATATTTTAAACCTTATTTTCCCCTTTTATTAAGTTAATAGCACCGTTAATAAACATAAAAATAATAATAAAAACATTTTGAGGCAGATTCTGAATAGAAATTAGATAAGTCATCTGTACTAGCTGAATACAAAAATAGAAAGTATAAGATGGCGGTATCTTACAAAAACAGATAAACAAATTTAAATGAAATAGTCCATATAATGACAATAATAATAAAGATTCAATGAACAGTGAAAGAGTGAGACTCAAATTGTCACTACTTAATTCCAGCACGGTACCTTTGAGCTGATCTCCTGGTTGGAATGTTGTCTGGTTCACTGAAATGTGGTGAATAGGATGAGACTGTGGACTATGACCATGTTCCGGGATCATTCCATGGCATGACTTTGCTACTTTTCCATTCGGATAATTAGCCACAGAACTAATGTGCAACAGATGTATGAAGACACCAAGGATAAATCCAGGAACTGCCATCTCAAAAAGAGGATTAAAAGCATATTATTTTCCAATGTAATTAAAATAAAATGCCTTCATACCACAGGACGGTAATTCTAGATAGCTACTTGCTGTCAATTTTCAGCCAACCATCTGCTCAAAATATGTAATAAAAAGAATGTGATATGTGAAGTCTGACCTACATCTGAATCTCAGCTCTACCATTTACCAACTGTGACACTTTGGGCAAATCACTTAAGCCTCCATTTCCTGAAAAATGAAGAAACTAAGACCCTCTTTTCAAAGTTGTTTTAATAAAATGAGGATACTGCCCTAAGTCTGACAAGGAAGGTAATAAACGTTAATAAATGTTAGTTTTCATTACTTTCATTGGGAAATTACAAACCAGCCCATAAAAGCAAAAGGTTTTACTCCACTTCATCCCAGGAAGCTTAAAGAACAAATAAGAAATAGTTCTTCTGAAACCATATATCTGACAAGAATCGAATAAACAAAATATATATAAAACTTTGACAACTTAACAACAAAAAGACAATAATCCAATCATAAAACGGACAAAGGAGTTGAAAAGACATTTCACCAAAGAGGACATTCAAATGGCCACCAAACACATGAAAAGATGCTCAACGACATTAGTCATCAGAGAGATTCAAATCAAAACAATGAGACACCATTTCACTCCCACTAGGATGGCTAAGATAAAAGAAAATAACAAATGTGGGCAAGGATGTAGGGAAATGGAACTCTTATCCATCGTTGGTGGTAATGCAAAATGGTACAGCTGTTGTGGAAAACAGTATGGCGAGTCCTCGAAAAACTAAAAAGAGAATGAACATATGACTTAGCAATTCCACTCCTAGGTATATACCCAAAAGACTTGAAAGCAGAGACTCAGACACTTGTACACCAATGTTCGCTGTAGCACTATTCACAATAGCCAAAACATGGAAACAACCTAAATGCCTATCAACAGATGAATGGATAAAGAAAATGTGGTATATACGTACAATGGAATACTATTCAGCCAGTAGAAGAAATGAAGTCTTAAGACATGTTACAATATAGACGGAGCTTGAAAACATTATGCTGAGTGAAATAAGTCAGTCACAAAAGGACAAATATTGTATGACCTCACTTATATAAAAAGACAAGAAAAGCCAAATATATAGAGACTGAAAGTTTTTAGTGGTTACCAGGGGCAACAGGGAAGGGAAAAGGGGGGATTAACGGTGATAGAAAAATCTCATTGATTAAGGTTAGGGTTGCACAGCCAATTATTGTAAATGTTGTCAATAAGTTGTACACCTGTAAAAAGTTAAATTGGCAAAAGTTGTGTGATAGATATATTTACAACAATGGCAAAAAAAAAAAAAAAAGAGTAGCTGCTGAGGCTGCTTATGTACAATAAAAAACCTCATCAGATTTGGTTCCCTGGTTTGGAGGTTTAGGGTCATGGCTTCATGGGACATCCCAGTTAACTGGCCTAATAATGTATTTAATGCTTCTGTTCTACTTCCTAGTTCATTGCATAGTACCTGGGGTGTTAAAAGCTTGCATGCAGCTATCCCAGGCACTACAATTGGTTTCTATTCACCTGGACCAACAGAGGAAGGAAAGTCAGGAATAGGAGGAGGATATGGAATGTGTAGCTAATTGCCTCCATGAACAACTGCCTCCTTTGCCATGAGACTAGAAGAACTGGATGGGGCCCGGCTACCATTACTGAACATTTTGATCACAGATTCTATACAGGAATCTTGATCAAAAGGGGGATAATACAGAATAGAATTTCAAATACTCACGGACTCTAGACTTTCTGGAGCCACAGGGCTGGAAGAATTACTGAAACTATTGCCCTGAGATAATGTTGAAACCTTAAACCAAAAATACCCCCTGAAGTCTTCTTAAAACCAAACAATAGTTTAGCTTAACTAGCTAAAAATGTCTACCTTGAGAATTATGCTCTTTTAGGAACTATCTATATGGGATCAAAGTGACTACACCAATTCAAAAGATTAGATTGGGGGCAGTGAGTTTATGTTAATATAGGAGGAACAATTTATAAAAGGACGGTGAGGGTGGTTGCACAACTTGAAGAATGTAATCAATGTCATTGAACTGTCCATGTAGAAACGGTTGAATTGGTGTATGTTTTGCTGTATATATTCTCAACAATAACAACAAAATAAAATTTTAAAAAAAGATCCAGGAACAAAAATACAAAAAGAAAAAAAAGAAAAGCTTCTTCTGGATTTAAATATCATCACCTGAACAAATTTCTGATGCGACTTCTCCCAACTTTCCATTAAACTAATCATGAGGCCAGGGTAATTTAATTCGCAATACTGAAAAAACTGAGGATAACAAGAAGGGAAGTGTTTCCATTACCTATAGTCCAGATTTAAGATGCCCTGAATTAAGAAGCACAATTATCAACCCGCTCAATCTCCTTCCTCCCACCCAGCTTATCTGCCTTTTACCATCTGCCTGCTAGAAAACCAGCTACTTGACATCAGTTCCACCCCCTCCAGCCCTCATCACTACTTCACTTCATGCAGATATTCCGAGTCTGAAAATCATAGAAAGGGAAGAAACATCATGTATCAGTGGTTAAGAGAAGTATTCAGTATATGGAGCTGAAAAAACATGTAAAGGAAAAAAACTGATACACATCACATTACATTACATATTAAATAGCGGTTTGATAACGATGTAAATGAAAAAAGAAAATCAAATCATTCAATAATAAAGAAAACATAGGAGAATGTTTCTCAAATCATTCAACAGCACAATACTTTCTAAATTTACTAACAATACAAAAGTCAGCAAAACAGACTAGTTTTAAATTTAATTACATAAAAATTTTATTTTTCTATGTGTATCTTTTTAAAAACATCTTCATATATCTACAATATTATTTTTTAAAAACTTTCACCCCACAGACAGACATGAACAGATAAGCTACAAAATTAGACCCACAAATGACTAATAAACATAAGAGAAAGAAATGCTCAACTCAATTTAAAATAGTATTTTCACTTAACAAATCAGCAACTGTTGTTAAAATGATATTACCAACACAGATGAGAAAACAAAAAAACCCAAACCCGTTACCTTGAGTTGATTCCAACTCATAGCAGCCGTATAGGACAGAGTAGAACTGCCCCATAGGGTTTACAAGGATCACCTGGTGGATTCGAACTGCTGATCTTTTGGTTAGCAGCCATAGCTCTTAACCACTACGCCACCAGGGTTTCCACACAGATGAGGATTCAGTGACAAAATTCTCTCAACACACTGGCTAGTTAAACTGGTACAACTTGTTTGACAAGCAACTTGGCAGTACGTATCAAGAAGATACTTTAAAAAGCTCATAAATTTTGACCAAGTGATTCCATTTCCAGGAATCAATATTAAGGAAATACTATAAAAGGCATAAAAATATTTATGAACAAATATATTGACTGTAGTATTATCTATACTTGCAAAAACTCAGAAACAATACTCAGCTTCTGATAGAGAACCATTAAATTGTAGTATATTCATATGATGAATTATATAATGCATGCTCAAGAGTTCTTAGTGTTGTGACAACTGTGTGTGCGTGTGTGTGTGTGTGTGTGTGTGTGTGTGTCTGTGTTTAAGGGAGTGAAAGAGAGAGGGAGAAAATGAACATGACAGATGGGGGAAAGTGAACTAGCAAACACTGGAAGAAAATATACCCAATGTTAACAGTGATCATGCCTGACATTCATTAAGATGTTGTTGCTGTGAGGTGCCATACAGTCAGTTCCAACTCATAGCGACCCTATGTACAACAGAATGAAACCTTCCAGGTTCTGCGCCATCCTCACAATTGGTGTTAGACTTGAGCCCACTGTTGCAGCCACTGTATCAATCCATCTCATTGAGGGGCTTCCTCTTTTTCACTGACCCTCTACTTTACCAGGCATGATGTCCTCCAGGGACTGGTCCCTCCTGATAACATGTCCAAAGTATGTGAGACAAAGTCTAGCCATCCTTGCTTCTAATGAGCATTCTGGCTGTACTTCTTCCAAGATAGATTTGTTTGTTCTTCTGGCAGTCCATAGTATATTCAATATTCTTTGCCAACACCATAATTCAAAGGCATCAATTCTTTTTCCATCCTCCTTATCCACTGTCCACCTTTCTCATGCATATGAGGCAAATGAAAACACCATGGCTTGGGTCAGGCACACTTAGTCCTTAAAGTGACATCTTTGCTTTTCAACACTTTAAAGAGATCTTTTGCAGCAGATTTGCCCAATGCAATATGTCATTTGATTTCCTGACTGCTGCTTCCATGGGCATTGATTGCGGAATCAAGTAAAATGAAATCCTTGACAACTTCAATCTTTTCTCTGATAATCATGATGTTGCTTATTGGTCCAGTTGTGAGGATTTTTGTTAATTAGGATAATGTGCAACTTTTTAAATGTATACTCTTTACACATAAATGCCCTTACTTAAATGATGCTCTCACATCTTTAAAAATTCTTTGGGAGCATATATTGCATAATTCATATGGGTGTACCATAATTTAATGATTCCCTTATTATTATTCAGTATTGTTTCTGATTTTTGCAATAAACATACACATATCCATAAACAGGGAGCAGGAAGGAGAAAGGAAGCTAATGGGGCAAACAAAATTTGGAGAATCTAGGTGAAGGAACATAGGAATTCTTTGTACTATTTTGCAACTTTTCTGTAAGACTGAAATTACTTCAAAATAAAAAGTTTTTTAAATCCCCCATTTAAAAAATAACAATCTATTTCACAGGGTCCTTTTGATGATAAAATGAAAACAATATATAGTGCTATAAGGATGCTGCTCTTTTTCCCATATATTCCTTCCAAACTCCAGGCAACATCATTAATTTTTCAAGGCAGTACTGTCTTTAGACTCAAACAAGAGAAGTCTTTACAGGGTCCCACTCTGGCCACACTCTCCCTAGGTCATCAGGATGTGCCCACCCAGAACCCATGCTTCTAGA